TAACCTTTGGTTTTGTAGGTGAACAATGTAATGCAGAATAAGAAAATGATATCTCCAAGTTTGGATGACTCCTTTTTGTTCGTGCTGGTTTGGAATTTGATCTCTGGTCTTTCCCCTTTTTCAGGGCTTGGATCTGTATGTATCCTTAGGCTTGACTGTTCTGGACCTTCATTGTCTCAAATCTCTTTTAGCTCTAAGTTGATGTTAAACCCTCCCCTCTTTCCAAGAACCTCACAGTCCAGTTTACTGCTCCCAGTGAACAGAAGTACCATCACTCTCTTCTGAATGGCTCTTCACAAAGCATCCGCCCAGTTTCAAGTAATGCTGGTAAACGGGCTCCGGAGGAATGCACATGTGGGAGTCTCTTCAGCAGAATGATTGGAATAATTGTGATCATTGTCCCCCTTTAAAAAACTTCAGGGGCCAGAGCAATAGTACCATGGGTAGGGTGTTTATCTTGTATGCGGCTGACCCTGATTTGATCCCGGGCAACCCATATTGTCCCCCAGGTACTGCCAGGAGTGATTCCTGAGTTCAGAGCCATGAGTAACCCTTGAGTATCACTGGGTGTGACCCAAAAAGCAAAAACAACAACAGCAACAAAAAAAAACCACAAATGTTTTCCCAGTTAATTCTGCAAACCACCAAATGATGTACCTGAATGTCAAACTTTGTACATGGAAAGGTTGGGTCTGGAGAGATAGTACAGTGAGTACAGCACACTTGCCTTGCATACCACTGACCTGGCTTTGAAAGGCCTGGTTCTGCATATGGTCCCCCAGGCACCACCAGGAGTAACCCCTAAGCATTGCTGGGTGTCAAACAATAACAACCCTTAACAGCACTTCCCCCCTCAAAAAAGGGTGTGTGTGTGTGTGTGTGTGTGTGTGTGTGTGTGTGTGTGTGTGTGGGGAGAGAGAGAGAAAGAGAGAGAGAGAGAGAGAGAGAGAGAGATTTAGGTGGTTGACTTAAAAGTAAGAAATGTTGGCTCTTGGGTTATGAGAGAGTAGTTATTTGCAGGGGCATCACTCCTGTTCTTCTGGCTGTACCCTGCTTAGTTGGCAATAATAAGCCAGGGTTGAACCACTGATCCTGAAGCTAAATGTGACACAGAAAAATCATTTCCATTTTCTCCTTTGACATAGGCAGTACTCCGATTTATAGTGGGGAAGGACATTAAAGAGCTCTGGGGATCAGGGAGATAGCATGATGAGCGGTAGAGCACATGCTCAGGGCCTGGCACTGAATGCCCTCTCTCCTTCCCCTCCTTCCGCATCCCCCTTTTCCCCCCACCCAAGCATTGGGTGTGGCCCTATTTGAAAATGATAATAAAAAGGGGGGGTTGGTCTGAGAGCTGAGACTATGGAGGATAAGGCTCTGGCCTTGCATATAGCTGGCCTGGCTTCAATCCTGGTACCCCATATTATCCCCTGAGCCCTGTAAGGAGTGATCCCTGAGGGCGGAGCCAGGAAGTGCAGAAGTGCAGGCTCTGAGCACCACCAAGTCTGGACCAAAAACAAAAAATAAACAAAGTGGGCTGCACTGTCTTTTATTCCCAGAGATCTCGTTAATATTTTTATTGGGCTTAACTTGACCCTTTGGTTTTTCTGGAGGGGTGGGGGTGTAAAAGAATGTTATGGTCTTGTTTTTTCAAATTTTAAAAATTTGAGGGCCAGAGATACAGTACAATGGGTAGGGCTCTTGCCTTGCATGCTGCCAACTCAGATGCAATTCCTGGCACCCCAAATCGACCCCCAAGAACTGCCAAAGGTGATCCCTGAGCAGGAGTAACCCCTGAGCATAACCAGTTTGTGACTCATAAAAAGAAAACAAAAACATGGTGGAGTGGGGGCAGGTAGGAAGCTTGCCTTTATGCAGTTGACCCGGGTTTGATACCTGGCACACACTCCATATAGTCTTCTGAGCTCAGAGAGCACAGAACCAGGAGTAACCCATGAGCATGAGCCAGGTTGCTCGAGCAGGCCCAGTAACGTCTCCATTGGAGACTTTGTTGTTACTGTGTTTGGCATATCGAATACATCACGGCTGGCTTGCCAGGCTCTGCCGTGTGGGCGAGATACTCTCGGTAGCTTGCCGGGCTCTCCGAGAGGGGCAGAGGAATCGAACTCGGGTCGGCCATGTTGGCTGCGTGCAAGGCAAACGCCCTACTGCTGTGCTATCGCTCCAGCCCATGAGCCAGGTGTGAATCAAAAAGAACAACAAAAATTGTTTAAAAAGTGTTTTTAATTTGTGTACCTCAGTAAAGTTTTTGCAGTTCCAACTTTCTGTAATAAATATACTTGATAAACATTTACAGAATTTCTTGGCTTTATTTCCCTTTAGAAATAAGCCACATTATTTGTGAAGACTTTGTTTTGTGTTTTCGGCCTCTACCTAATGATGCTCACTCCTGACTGCACTAAGAAATCACTCCTGATGAGACTCACGAGACTATATGAAGTGCCAGGATCCACCTGGGGTTGGCCACATGCAAGACAAATTCTTTACCCACTGCAGTCTCCTATGACTCCTAGTTTGGGGTTTTTAATCTGCATTTCACTTAAGTTAAAGGGGTAAGGAAGGAAATAGAGAAGATAGGTTTAATCAAAATTCTCTTACTGTCTTACATACTTGCTATCACCCTATGAGGCTTATGATAAGGATGTCCTTGGACATAGAAATCACATGGTAAAAATATACAGTCTTTCTTTGGTATATTGTACTTGGAAAAACACAAACCATAAAACTTTGTGTGTCATCATTCCAATTATGCTTTCATTTTATTTTGGTTATGGTGCCATACCCAGTGGTGCTCAGGAGTAACTCCTGGCTCTGCACTTAGGAATCACTCCTGGTGATGCTTGGGGGACCTTATAGGTTGCCAGGGATAGAACCCGGGTCAGCCACTGCAAGGCAAGTAAGTGCCTTACCCACTGTACTGTCTCTCCAGCCCCTCCAGCTAAGCTTCTAAAGGGAATTCTGAAGATACACACCTCTGTTAGTATGTAAAGGACCACTGTGTGTGTGGGAGTTAATCTGGATTCTAGGAAGGGTTCCTGGGAGTTGGTGGTGGTGACAGTTTCCAGTGCTGCTCAGGGGGCTGGGTGGCCTGACTGGTATGTGCTTTACCTGTATGGCTGTGTATCTCACCCTCTTGTTACTTTGTTATTTCCGTATAACTGGAACTTTTTGTAAAAGTTCATTCTTGAGTTAGGCTGTAGGACATATGTAAAGTGAGATTGAGATGAGAAAAGAAGGCAGGTCTTTGCATCCTGGAAGCACCTGTCTTCCAGTGCCATGCTTGGGGCCTGGGAATGTAGCTTAGCAGGTGAGCGCTTACCTTGCATGAGTGATCAAACCCAGAGTTTAATCCCTGGCATCACCAAACAAAACAAAACAAATACAAAGCATTTCCATGCCTTTTGGTGCTGCTTAGTCTCTCCCATCTCTTTCCATGTAAATGAAAAATGGAAAGATCTGTCAATAAGGAAAGCAGCATGGGAAACAGAAATTGCCTCTCAGAGCCAATTCAGAGACTGTTATGTGCCCCTTATCCCCTTTTTAAAATCTGCTTGCATTGAACTCGTTATCCACTGGAGCAGAATCTTAGCATCTTAGCAGAGAATTTGAATAATCCTTGGGAAAGGGTGAGACTGTAGTGTGCTAGGCGCTGCATATTTGGAATGTCTTTGTATGTAATTTTTATTAGTTCTTCATTTAAAAAAATTATGTATGTAAGACAGAACATGATTTGGATGAACTTTATATACATTGTAATTAAATAAGAGGGCACACCATTGTATTCCTGCATGCTTTTCAATATAATATAGAATTTAAAAACAAAAAAATTCTGTTTGTGTCAGAAATCTAGGGAGAGACATGGGCTGGGGGAAGTCCTGTGACTCCTGGGACACTGGAGTGTCCTAATTCTGCATCTGGATGTTTGTGTTTTCTGAAAATTCATTGGGACATATGCTTAAGATTTAGGTACTTTTCCAGAACGTTAAAAAAAATTAAAAACAAAAAACAGCATGTAAAGCTCCTCAAAATAGGTGACGGATAAAGAAGAAAACACCTTTATATCTTTTAGGGTTTGCATGTTGCCCTCTGCCAAATCAGATGATAGCTCTGAGGTTGGGGCTGGCTATTTATCTGGGACTCACAGTAGGTGCTGAACCTGTATTGAGTGGCTAGTGGCACAGTTGTTAAATTCTACCAGTCTCCCTTGAATTCTTAGAGTTATTTATCTTTGACTCTTGAAATGTTTACAGTGTGAGCCGGGGAGTTGGCTCTAGGGCTGGGGCAGGACATAACTTTGCATGCAGAATACTCGGATTTGCTCTTCAACCTGTCATGTCAGTTTCCTTCTCTCCACTGCTGCAGCTTCAGGTTGCTCCAAGTCCTGCTGTTTGTGCCACCCCCCCCCCCCCCAGCAACAGAAAATACTTTAATCACATGTGTGTATTCACATGCATACATAGAAAATGTAGAGCATATATACGGGCATGTACAACAGTGCTCGGGACCAAACATGGGGTCTCGTGCATGCACAGACCCTTTGCCACTAAGCCTCGTCTCTCCACAGTCTTTTGTATTTGTTTAGTGGGGTAAAGTGTATGTATCATTTAATAATGTCTTTTTCCATTCTGATTGGGAAGGATCGACCCAGATAAGGACTTACTGTTGTTTAGATACTGCCAGTGTCTTGGGTAACAGGTAAAGCAAGAGTGTGTGCCCCTTTCCCCCCTTTTCTAATTTTTGCTGCTTGGTGGGCACACATATGCCCTTTGGAAGCATGTTGGCCTTTACTGAGTGTGATTCAAAGAAAAGGGATATCGGGGATATTTTTGTGTGATTTGGTTTGTCCCTTGTACAGTGGCGTAATTCAGAGGGTTTAGAGGCCACTAATCCTGAGTGGGAAAAACAAGTATTGTTTGACTGAAAAATTTTATTATCTAGCTCAGTTTCTGTTCGCACTGCTCCTCTTTGCCAACTCTCAGAGCTTTAGACAAACTGAATGGATTCCAGCTGGAGAACTTCACTTTGAAAGTGACCTACATCCCGGATGAAATGACGGCACCGCTGAACCCTGCACAGCAGCCGCGAGGTCGCCGTGGGTTTGGGCAGAGAGGCTCGTCAAGGCAGGCCTCCCCGGGCTCCGTAGCCAAGCAGAAACCCTGCGACCTGCCTCTGCGCCTGCTGGTCCCCACCCAGTTTGTTGGAGCCATTATAGGAAAAGAAGGTGCCACCATCCGGAACATCACCAAGCAGACTCAGTCCAAGTGAGTGTTCCCGCCCCTTTGATCCTCGGGAACAGAACATGCTGTTCTGGCCCTCGCTGTCCCCTTGAACACGGCCATGATCCTTTCTCATCCAGGGCCTGGGAAGCCGGAAAACCTTGTGATTCGATATCTTAGTGTGCATTTTCTGTAAATCTGGGGCTGAACTTTAATCTCAAAGGGAACCTCAAATGTTCACACATGGCTGGAAAACAAATGCCACTTAATCCACTTCTGATGGGGGAAGCTTTGCCCAACGAAAGGCAACTTATCGGGTGTTCTCTGTCCCCCTGTCGCTGCTCCCATCCCCAGTAATACTTTCCTTTAGTGGTCTTGGAAGATCTTTTATTTCTAATAGAGCTTTTCAGTAGTAGATTTTCTTTCGGTAAAGAACCACTCCACTTATGGTCCAAATTTAATGCCTTAGGCCAGTTATTTTGTGTTACTCACTGCCCTGTTGGTGTTTTAGTGGATATTTGGATCCGTCCCTAGTTGGTAATGAGCTCTCCCCTCATCTCCGGTTCTGTAAAGTGCCACTAGGCGCATCTCTGGTATGTGCTGCCTTGTTTCCTGAGAACTATGTTTCCTGCCTCTACTTGGGAGAGAAGAGAAAGGCTGGGGACATACCTTTCCCATCATTGGACACAGATGGACAGGGAAGTGGCCTCCAGGGATCTAGAGATGACTGGGGGTTATTTTTCTTTTTTAATTTAGTGAGGAAATTATTTCATGTGTCCTGAGGAATTTAGCAGAGTCTTTCCCAGAAAGTGGAACCTGCTGTTGTATATAACTTCTCTGTGTGTGTCCCACCAGGCTTAAGGGGATGATCAGGACTGGAGAAATAGTTCAGTGAGCTAAAAGTGTGTTTTGTATGCAGGAGTCCTCTGATCCCTGACACCTCATGGCCCCTGAGCACAGAAAAACTCTCTCTCTCTCTCTCTCTCTCTCTCTCTCTCTCTCTCCTCTCTTATATTTGTCATAGGCATCAGGTCTAATTGAGTTAGCTGAGCCATTTCTCATGCAAAATCCAAACAGTTTTGATGGGTGAGTGCATCTTGCTGGGGCTGGCTAGCTGTGTGCAAATTCAGTGATCTTGTTCTCAAGACAACAGAAATGTAGCCTCATTAGTTTGAATCTTAAATTTGCCTGGTTTTAAGATTTTTATTTGCTTGCTTGGGCGCTGGGTGTGGAAGGGAGGATGGAGTTGGCACCACTCCCAGTGATGGCAAGAGAGATAGCACATTTGTCTGTGGCAGCTGTGACCCTTTTTCAGATCCCTACACTATATATGGTTCCCCAAGCACTGCCTAGAGGTCACCCCTTGAATAGCTCCTGAGCACCACCCAGTTGTGGCCCTCCACCCAGAAACGAACAAAAGCAAAACTGCTTCCAGCTCTGTTCTAAAGAAATCTCCTGATAGAGGCCCTGTTTGACATGGTGGTGGCTTCTGGTGGGGCTTTGGGACCGTGTGGTGCCCTGGATCAAATCGCGCTTCCACCTGAAGAGCTGGGCTTCTCCCATGCCCCTTAGATTTCGGTCTCCTTTCATTCGTTCATCCACTGTGGCTTGCAGGAACTAATTACTAAATGGTTTTCCTTCTTTGTCACGTAGCAAATTAGGGTTGTTCCTTTTAACACTGCTCATTTCCTTGTCAGGGGAAAGGGCTTCTGTGGTTTAAATGGAACTGTTTGTTTTATTTAAGGCAGGAAGGTGGAGGCTGGAAAGCAAAGTGAAGCGATGTTTGTTATATCCAGTGACGCGTTTGCAGAGCTTTGCCAGGGGCTTTGACGAGCGCGTGCCTTTGGAACTGGTCATTATCCAATCCACTGTTTCTGGAATGGCCTTCGTAAAGGCAATATTCCTTTCTCTCTGAGGATCAGAGCTTAGTAGCCTGTCACATGAAGTGGTGGAGACCCACAGGAAGGAGGAGTTTAGCACGTTACCTACAAGAAGAGAAGCAGCCCCTGTAGTAATTGGAAATTAAAACAGTGGCTGGAAAGTGGGGCCTGAGATTTGGGCTTCTATCTAATGCATTGTTTGTTTTTGGTTTGGTTTGGTTTTTTGTCTTTAAAAAAATTTTTTTAGATAGTCCTTATCATTTTGCTATTTATATTGCACTGACTTTTTATTTTTACTTTTTTAAAAAAAACTAAAATGTATTTATTGGCATGGTTTCCCATTCTTCTTGATGCACGGAGCTTCCCCTGCTCCTCCACCTGAAAGAGCATCCCTCTGTACACCTTCCTTTTCCTCCTGTGGACTGGCAGAGGACAGAGCAGCTAGTTCACAAAACTACCATCTGCACAGTGGTGATTTTTATAGCATCCCGGGCATTCCATGTCCATGAATAACTAATTGGGGTGGGGGCTGTTAGGCCACACACCTAGCAGTGCTCAGGACTCTGGACTCAGGAGTGACCCCTGTTGGTGTTTAGGGCCCATATGCAGTGCTAACCCAGGTCAGTCCTATGACCAGTCATGGTGAGGCAAGCACCTTCCCTCCTGAACTCTCTCTGTGCCTCTCTGTGGGTCTTTGAAAAGAATTACCGGTTTTCCCCTCTAACTACTTATAGTGCTAGAGTGGGCATCCTTAAGCCAGTGCTTTTTCAGCAAGGAGTGATTCTCTCCCCTCCCCCCCCCCCACACACACACACAGTGGACATTTGTTAATATCTGAAGGCATTTTTGGTTAATGCAGCTGAATGAAGGAACTACCTCTGGCATTTGACAGGTGAGGCTTGGGATGCTGCCCAACATCCTAGTGGATAGCCTCTGCAGTGTGTTCATCTGACTGCATGGTCAGTGTGAAGAGGGTGAGATGCATTGTAGCATCTCATGCTATTCTGTCAGTTTGTCAGACAGTCCCAGGAAAGTTTGGGTGTGCCCAGTTACCCATTTTCTTGGCAGTATTCAGTTTCATCTGTGAAAATAGTTTGGAAGAAAACCCATCTGTGGTTTTCATTTTGTTTGGGGATGGGAGTACACCCTGTGGTAACCCATGAACCACTTAGTCCTGGGGGCTGACTGAGGGGCCACATAGTGCTGGGGACCGACCCAAGGGCCACATAGTGCTGGGGACTGACCCAGGGGCCACATAGTGCTGGGGAGTGACCCATTCCTCCCACATGCAAAGCGTGTTCTCAGCCCCCTAGAGCTCTTCCTTCATGTGGGGCCAGCAATTGAACTGTGCCTCTGGCATACAAAGTATGTACATGAACCTTTGAGCTGTCTCCCCTGACCTTTGTCTTGTTTTAATTTCTAATGAGATCAAGCTTAATTTTATGTTTATTGGCCATTTGCTTTTTTTTTTTTTTTCAGTAGAATTGCTATCTCTTGGGTTCCATTCTTAACCACTGTTATGGATTTTTCCCCTCTCAGGGAGGCAAGAGAAAAGAGAAAGTGACTCTCTCATGCCAGTCTCCTCAGGCATGAGAGAACACTGCAGTGATCTCTTGTAGTGAAGCATTTGATCTGGCTTGTGGGAGACAGCCCCAGCCCTCCTGGCATGTCTTCCATGTCCACGTTTTTGTTAGAGGGAAAGAAAGCTTCTTGTCTGAACTCTTCCTCGTTGGTGGCAGATGTTTTTCCTGTGTATGCAGAGAAGGGAGCTCTTCGCATGGATAGTTGGGGCAGAAAGAGAGCAAAAGGGCCTGCCACAGAGGTGGGGTGGGGGAGGATGGGGTGGGGGTGGTGGGAGGGATACTGGGATGGATCATTGGTGGTAGAGAATGGACACTGGTGGGGGGGATGGGTACTCAATCTTTGTATGACTGAAATGTAAGCATGAAAGTTTCTAAGTCTGTAACTGTACCTTAGGTGATTCATTTAAAAATTAAAAGAAATATGACAAGATTAAAAAAGGAAAAAAGATATCCCTGTTCAGTTTGATGCAGAAAGGAGAAGAGGGTTGCTGGAATTAAAATTTGTCTCTCAAGCATCCACTTGACAGTGTATGATGAGGGTAAGCTCTTTCGGGAAATGAGTCATCCAGTCTGTCCAGAAGCTGATCATCTCAGGGAACTGAGAGATAGTACAGTGGGGAGGCTGCTTGCCTCGCATGTAGCCGACCCAGGTTCAATCCCCAGCACTTTATATGGTCCCTGAGCACTGCCAAGTGTGCTTCTCCCCTCCCCCCAAAAAAATGTTGATCGCCTCACATGCTGTTATGAAAACATACTAAACGCTCTCCATTTCGCTCTCCTTGTGCCCACAATCAGAATCGATGTTCATCGGAAAGAAAATGCAGGTGCTGCTGAGAAGTCAATCACTATCCTCTCTACCCCCGAAGGCACGTCTGCAGCTTGTAAGTCTATTCTGGAGATTATGCATAAGGAAGCTCAAGATATAAAATTGTGAGTAAAGAGAATTAACAATCGAAGAGGTTGATGTTTGTGCAGTTTTATTTTGGATCTTTAGGACACAGTTCTCGGGAATTGCTAGCAAAGAGAAATGCTTGAATGCTGTGTCAAAGAGCCACAGTTGTTGGTATTGTCAATCTGCTTGTAAAACCTTGTCTCTTAATGCTTTATCTTCATTCACATTTGGATTTGGGGTGAGTGGTGTTACTGGAGGACATCAGCTCTAGAAGAAGGTATTTGGGTGACTCAGAGTAGGAAGCCCATTTATGGTTCAGGAAGTGTCCTTGGGATTTGCCTAAGGGAGGGACCCCACGTTTTCTTTCCTTAATTCTGAATCACCAGAACTCTGTGCTGAGGTGTCTCTAGCCCCATCCTATAGCAACGAGGAATATGAAGCCAGTGAGATCCCTGGTCTTGGCCTAATGTATCATAGAGATTGATTTGGTGTTCAGGGTTGGCGTTTTGGAGTTTGTTTTCTGTACTGTGTTAAGCAGATAGCACAGTAGTATACTAAAATAAAATTCCAGGTCAAGTGCTAGAGTTTGCCAGTGAATTTGATTAGTGACACTTCATTTGTAGATATATTACTACTGAATGTATGTGTCTATTTTTTCTTTCTTTTTGGTGTGGGACATTGTGCTATACTTGGTAGTGTTTAGGCTACTCCCAGCTTTTTGCTCAGGGGGTCATTCTTGATTGTGCCCATGTAGTGATGAGGATGCTGAGAATGCACACTGACCATTTGGGGGGAGGGAGAGCACACCCAGCTATGCCTGGGCTTTGTCCTAATTCTGTACTCAAGGATCACTCTTCGCAGGGTTTGGTGCCGGGGATCAAAGCCAGATCAGCCACATGCAAAGCAAAGTGCCCATCCTGCTGTATTATCATGCCCTGCAGATTAGCCTTCTGAGCTATTTCCCCAGCGCATTTTGCGTATATCTTATAAAGAAGTATTCAGTATATTGATTTCAGTTTTATTTCTATATGTTACCTAACCATGAAATAACTTGGGCCACCAACCTAGGCATCGAGTTAGGATGAGCAAGGGACTGTCTGCTTTGCCCCTGACTACAGTCTTACCAACCAGTGAGGTCCTTCTTTACCCATTGTGAGGTCTTTATTTGGGGGTGAGGGGATTTCACTCCTGGCAGAGCTTGGGAAGCCTGTGGTCCTGGGACTCAAACTCCACATTCACTGTATATTAATATTTTAATTGCAAGGAGTCATATGGTACTGTCTATGGTACTGTCATAGATTGATAATTTTTTTAATAAAATAAATTTTTGTAATACCTAAAAGAGGTCATGGGAGGAGGGAGAGAGGGAGGGAAAGGAGAGAATTTTTGGTTGTTTTGAGGCCACACCTGGTGGTGCTCAGGGCTTACTCCTGGCACGGATCACTCCTGGTGGGCTCAAGGGTCTATATGGTGGTGCCGGAGACTGAACCCAGGTCAACGACATACAAGGCATATGCTCTACCCACTGTTCTGTCTCTCCAGCCCTTAATTTATATAATTTTGGGGGGTTCCCAAACAATGCTCGGTGGTCCCAGAGATTGGTGGGACCTCCCTGAGGATTGGTGTGAAAGCTCAAAGATGCAGAGCTTCTCTATCTGAGCTGCCTTTCCCCCCAGCATGTGAGGCCGGCTTCCAAGCCATGACACAATCCTCCTGGTACACATCTTGCTTGGAGAGCCCACTCAGGATGGGAGATGTAAGCTGAAAGTAGACTGTAGACTGAACATGATGGCCACTCAATACCTATATTGCAAACCACAACACCCAAAAGGAGAAAGAGAGCAAAAGGGAATGCCCTGCCACAGAGGTGGGGTGAGGGAGGATGGGGTGGAGGTGGTGGTAGAGAATGGGCACTGGTGGAGGGATGGGTACTCAATCATTGTATGACTGAAATGTAAGCATGAAAGTTTCTAAGTCTGTAACTGTACCTTAGGTGATTCATTTAAAAATTAAAAGAAATATGACAAGATTCAAAAAGGAAAAAAGAAAACAAAGGATTCAGAGCTGCTGTGCTGGTGGGACCGAGGACTGTCTGGGCCACCAGGAGGTGTTCAAGGCTCTCAGGGCTAAACCCAGTGATTCTTGAAGGACTCTGGGATGCTGAGGGTGGAACCAGCACTGGCCACATGAAAGTGTGCACCTTAACTCCTGTACTAGGTCTCTAGCCCCAACTCATAATTACTTCCTTTGAGAAAAATGAGAAGTCCACCACTCCAATAACCTCATGACATTTTTAGAGCAGTGAAAGGGTGTATGACTTGGAAATTTGTCGGGGTGCAGATCCAAAGACAAAGCTCCCTCCTGTCATTAGACACTCCCTGTAAGTTGTGATAGCCATTGTCTAGTATCTTCTGTTCGCTTGTGTTGTGCTTGTGTCTTCAGGTATGTATATTAAATTTTATATTAAGATTCAGTTGCCTTTGTGATTGTGTTCTGATAATGGGGAATTTAGGAATACAGATTTTCATAAGAATTTTTGATGTGCTCACAGTCCATCATTAGAAGATACTCCTGAGGCAAATAAAAGGAAAACTATTTTAAAAGTTCTCTTCTCTCTCATGTCTATATCATTTTACTTCATTAGAGAAAAAAAAAAAACTCTAGGTATATGCTTTCTGTCTGGAAAGTAGAGTAACCGTTTTATAAATGAAGATTATCTTTTTTTAATTTTCTTTTTGGCTCACACCCGGCGATGCACAGGGGTTACTCCTGCCTCTGCACTCAGGAATTACCCCTGGTGGTGCACAGGGGACCATATGGGATGGTGGGAATTGAACCCGGGTCAGCCATGTGTAAGGCAAACGCCCTACCCACTGTGCTATTGCTCCAGCCCCATGAAGATTATCCTTTGACCTGAGACTTTTTGTCACCCTGATTTCATGACCATTCTTTGAATTTACAGCACAGAAGAAATTCCTTTGAAGATTTTAGCTCATAATAACTTTGTAGGTCGACTCATTGGTAAGGAAGGAAGAAACCTTAAAAAAATTGAGCAAGACACAGATACTAAAATCACGATATCTCCGTAAGTATTGCTTTGCTTGCTTTTTAGTTAGAAAATACCCAAACACTTTGTTGTTGACATTTTGTTAGTTGTGCAGGTCACACCCACACTTAGTGGTGCTCTAGAAGCAAGGTGACTACAGGGGGCACTTCTGGAGGGACTTAGGGTTCACTGTGGCCATTCCTAATTGTGCAGGGGAGTGTGGTGTTAGAAATTCTGTGGCACCATGTGTGGGACCAGGGATGGAAACAGGACCTGCTGCATGAAGACTAGCACCTTAATACCTGTCCTGTCTCTCTGGCCCCAGAAGAAATAAACTTCTTTAAATAGCCTTAAGACCAACAGTTGTCCTTTTTTATAAAGGTAAAGGTAAAGGCCCTCCCGTTGATCGTCGATTTGCTCGAGCGGGCCCAGTAACGTCTCCATTGGAGACTTTGTTGTTACTGTGTCCTTTTTTATATACTTACATTTTCAACAGGTTTGAAAAATAGCTAAGGACTTAGCTATTTTCTAAGCTTAGGACTGTTTATGTGGCTAAAGTGTGGCTTACGCCTCTGTTCTGGCAGAGAAATGAGAACTTAGAAGCTGGGAACATGCAGGAGCTCCTTAGCGATGCTTCTCAGTCTTACCACTGGTTTTCCAGGGTAAATGTCTCTCATTGGTTTCCTTCTTGAGGCTGTTGACCAGCTCAGACTACTGGATTTTGGAGCTCCAGCAAGACTAGGCTGTAAAAATGAGTATTCTTTCAAACAGGGCTCTGGTATAAATTCTGAATACTACTGTTGCATTTTAGTTTTTTTCTAAGTCGTCATCAGGGAACCATTTTTAAAGTTTGGTCAAGATGAATTATTTCTTCTGGTGTCCTCTGATCTTAATTCAGAAAGTACTGGCAAAAATTAGCTCATATACATGAATTCTGGTTTGCCTTTTTGGAATGTATTCATGGTTATTCCTTGCTTATAACCAGAAAATCCAACTGTGTGCAGATACCAATTGTCCCTAGAATGGGTGAGTGTAAGTTTGAAAGTATTTATTAAAGGTTATATGTATCTGGTTCTTGGTTTCCACATGAACTATACATCCCTCCATCTGATAATTTTTAGATGGGGCTTTTGAATTGGGGCTCAGAAGGCCCAGACACCCCACTGGGGATTCTGTCAAATGTTACCAGTGATTCAGGGGAAGGGTCTATAGATGGAAACTGCTTGGACTCTGAGATTTTGGGGATTACCCGGTGGTCTGGGGTGGGCGGGTGCACCTAGCAATTCTCAGTGGATCATATGGTACAGGAGTTGAACCTGGGTCAGGCATGTGCTAGGTGTGAAGCATGGGCCCAAACCACTGTCTCCTGGCCCCTCTATTTGCTTTCTTTACATTTTACCAGTTTAACCTTTAAGTGGTCAAGAGATTTAAACATGAACTTAATGAAAGTATATACACCCAATAATTTTAATTGAGAAGGTGCAAGGGGAAAGTTTTTGTATGGGAACCATACCCGACCACGTACCCAGCTGTGCTGTGGGGGCTGTGTCATGCCAGAGTCAAACTAAGCGTCTTAACCTCTGTACTATGTCTCCAGCCCAAAGTTTTGTTGCTTTTTAAAAATCTCTTGCAGTTTTACAGTTTTTGAGTTTATCTTTTGGAATGTAATTCATTTTCCACCATGTCTCACCGCCCACTTTTCCATATTGCCAGCCTCCACAATTGGATTTTAGTTGCCATCTGTTGCTGAACTATTATTAGCTGTCTTCCTCCTATAATTTCCATTCTTTTTCTTTTTCCTTTTTCAATCTGCAGATTGCAGGAATTGACGCTGTATAATCCGGAGCGCACCATTACAGTTAAAGGCAATGTTGAAACATGTGCCAAGGCTGAGGAAGAGATAATGAAGAAAATCAGGGAGTCTTATGAAAATGATATTGCTTCTATGAATGTTAGTTTTAATACAAGCATGTTTTTAGTTTGATGACTAATTGAAAGATGTTTTCAGTTGTATTAATACTGATTTCTTTTGTGGTTTCACTAGATTTAGTTTCTAATTTTTAGTATCATAGTGAACACCTTGTAATGGTTTGGGATGACAAAATCTTTGACATTAGACTTGGTTATCTGTGATTTTAGTAAATTAAGATTTAAACTTTAACCTCCTTAGGTGTGTGATGTAAGTAAGGCTATAACTACTTACAAAGGTTAAAATCTCCTGCACAGTTTTTGAAAGAGATTAGTGTAGTAGGCATTAGAGATAAATGAATAAACCATTAGTCGCTGGTCTATTTGGTCTCTGAATGTCAGTTTCCTTATCTCTAAATGGGGCTGCTTACTACTACATTCAATGCCTATTAGGATTAGAAAAGAAATAATGCAGATGAAGGTTATTGTTACAAATACAAATTCAAAATTTGACTACTTACATCCTCCTTGGCACAATTTCATAGCACAAAGTCCTCAATTGGACCTGTCATCTGACACATTACACCTGAAAGGAGGGGAAGGCAAAAATATCGACCACCTTTGTGAGCAGATCCTAGAATGCTAGTTGTTGTTGTTGTTGTTTTTTAAGACAAGCAGTGAAGTAAAACATTTTATTTGGAGGACCTTTGAAGGGAAGGAGGAGGAGAAAGTGGGAGAGAGTGGAGAGGAAGAGACAGAGTAACGCGCTCTAGGGGGAACGCGGGCTTCTCCAAGGGTAGAGAGCCCCTACACACATCCCAGCATTAGACAGGAAAGCATAAAAGTACACATCTCAAGAGGGGAGATGTGGGCAGCACATGTGCTCAGGCACTGCATGTGCTTGGCCACGTGGACGCAAGCAGCACACAGGCTCCGGCAGCATCTACTCCAATACCAGTCAATTTTGACCTACACGATTGCTTGCCTTCATGTTAACATTGCTCATCCAAAAATTTAAGCATGTTTGGAGTAAATTATTCAAATATTAACTCTAATCTCCACTCTACCTTTCTACTCTGTTTAAAATTAAAGCAGAATGACGTTTATTGGCTCCTGTATTTAAAGATTTGTTTAATTTCAGTAGTACAGGAGGGGATGGAACTGATTTCCAAAGGACTTAATGTTGTTTTATACCTTTATAAATGTGTGTCCAAATTTACCCAGGGAATACAGAAATTTCATAATAATTGACTCTGTGTATCAGTACACATAGTACGTATTTGTCTAAGCAACGTGGACTGGTCATAAAACAAGACTGAGGTTCCTCCTTTGAGAAACCTAGACCAGAGAGGAGAGAACGGAGCAGCACAGGTTTTAAATACCAAGAAATAGAAACTACATATGCAAATGTAGTCACATGGAACATCTGCTTTGTTCAGAAATTTGGATCACAAAATGGTCTTTTTCTTTATAAGAGATCACAGTATGAATGTCACTTACCAAAGCTCACTTCACTGGATCTTTTCATTGTGAAATGAGAGGGACCTTTTTACCATTGCAGCTTCAAGCACATTTAATTCCTGGACTAAATCTGAATGCCTTGGGTCTGTTCCCGCCCACCTCTGGGATGCCGCCTCCCACCTCAGGGCCACCTTCAGCAGTGACTCCTCCTTACCCACAGTTTGAGGTAAGGGCTTGTGCCTTGGCTTCCTTTATTCCTGTGCAGAATGTAGTCATATAGTGTGGCATTAAATGCTAATTGGAAAGCCTTAATGTGAAACCTGGTCTCCTTGTGATAAATCATCGGTTTAGAGCCGGCATAGTCTTTCCTGTTCCTGTCAGTTGATCTTTTCCTTTGCTGCTCCTTTGTAGTGAGTGAGTTGTTTCTTTTTTTTTTTTTTTTTTCCTTTTTGGGTCATGCCCACAGACGTACAGGGGTTAGTCCTGGCTTATGCACTCAGGAATTACTCCTGGCGGTGCTCAAGGGGACCATATGGAATGCTGGGAATCAAATCCGGGTTGGCCGCGGGCAAGGCAAACTCCCTACCAGCTGTGCTATCACTCCAGCCCCATGAATTGTTTCTTTTGAAGCCTTTGGGTGCTAGGCTTGTCTACATGTGTTTTCAGATATTAAAGAAAAGTTTGACTTTGGGAAGGGGATGAAAGTTAGTTACTTGTATTATTTTTGTATTTATTTTGTTTTGTTTTGGGACCATGCCTGTCTCTACACTCAGAAATTACTCCTAGCAGTGCGTAGGGAACCATATGGGATGCCAGGGATAGAACCTGGGTTGCCTATGGTCAAGGCAAGCACCCTAGCTGCTATACTATCTCTCTGGCCCTAACATTACTTTTAACTGTTGAATGTAAAGATTTTTAAAAGACTTCCTTTACCTTTAACTTCACTGGAAATTAGAAGCTTTAAAGGATCTGTGGAGACTGAACATGGTAAAGGAAACAGAAAACTTAGATAGTTTAGCTAACGAATCCATATTGTACATGCATATGTGCACACAAACATTAAACAGCTTTTTTCATTTTGTACACATGTAGTTTATTGAGAAATAACCTCTTAATATTTTTTCTAATTTTTTTTTTTTTTTTTTTTTTTTTTTTTTTTTTTTGGTGAGGTACCAGGGTTTACAATACCTTTTCCTGCAAGCATCGTTCTCACGTCACACCCATCACCAGAGTGCCCCCTTCTGTCCACCAGTGGACACTGGTTCTCAGGGGCCTTCCCAGCCACCCTGTTCCTGTGAATGCTCAGTTTTGTGTACAAAATCTCCAGTTCTAATGACTTAAAGCCATTTGTTGTTTCCTTACTGTATTTCTTTATTATCCCACATAAGAGAGAGCCATTTCAAAAAATTGTTTTGTGGATATGGTAACATCTACACATACGCACTGTAGCACTGTCACTCCCATTGTTCATTGATTTGCTCCAGTGGGCACCAGTAACATCTCCATTGTAAGACTTGTTGTTACTGATTTTGGCATATAAAATATGTCACAGTTAGCTTGCCAGGCTCTGCTGTGTGGGTGGGATACTCTTGGTAGCTTGCTGGGCTCTCTGAGAGAGGCAGAGGAATCGAACCTGGGTCAACCGCAGCCACATGCAAGGCAAGCACCCTACCTGCTGTGCTATCACTCCAGCTCATCTACACATATATAGATGAATAAAGCTAAACTGGAATTCTCCAAAATTTATAAATCAAAAATATTGATAAAAAGTTTTGTTTTTCTAATACCGTATATCTTTTTTCAAGTATATAAATTAAATATTAATAGTATAGTCTAAAAACAAAAGGGAGAAAAGAGGGAGAAAGAAAGGGATTGGACCAAGGTTCAAATATTGCGTTACTCTTCATATCTTTTGAGTTCTAAAATAGAGCTCTTGTTGAGGACTAGGGATCTTTCGAGTAGTGTTCAGGGGCTACTTCTGGTGATTTTTTTACCAGCTAGGTGGGGAATCCAATGCCAGGGTGGTGAGTGTGGTGCTGTTCACTCCTCAGTGTTGGAGACCACCAGGCTGCCAGAGCCACACAGCAATGCTGAAGGGCCGTGCACAAACTAGGGTTTGAGTGGTTGCAAAGTATGTCTCCCTAACTCCTGTGCTCTCTCTGGCCCCATGACAATTTTCTGATCCCCAACTCATCCCCTTTTTCTTCATGGCACTATAGCACTGTAGCACTGTCCTCCCATTGTTCATTGATTTGCTTGAGTGGGTACCAGTAACGTCTCCATTGAGAGACTTGTTATTACTGCTTTTGGCATATTGTATATGCCACGGGGAGCTTGCCCGGCTCTGCCATGTAGGCAGGATACTCCTGGTAGCTTGCCAGGCTCTCCAAGAGGGATAGAGGAATCAAACCCGGGTGGGCTGCATGCAAGGCAAATGCCCTACCATTGTGCTATCTGCCAGGCTAGGGCTGGAGAGAGCACAGGGGGTGAGATATTTGTCTTGCATGAGACTGATCTGAGCTAGATACCCTGCACCTCATAAGGTGTGTTCCCAATTTCTCCCCCCCCCCAAAAAAAAAAAGTTTTGCCAGGAGTGATACTTAGCACTGCCAAGTGTGGCCCCCAAACAGAAGAAAACCAGGCTAGTAGTTTTATTAACTGTCCCCTGATTTTGGATTTGACTACCTCCACATGATTAGGTCCAGGTGATACCTTTTTGGAAATAGGAATATCTTCTCAGTAGGTCACATTGAAAACTAAATACCAGCGTGTCTGGAGTTTGGTTGTCAGTAGTGTTCAGTGTGATCTTATAATTTAAGTAGTGTGTATAGTTCCCCCACTGTTTAGATTCCTTTCCCAGTTTGTGATTAAGACACAAGACATATACATTTAAGAATGTATATCTTGTTTCCCAAAAGTCTTTCATCCAGTGAATTGGATATTGGACATAATAGACATTTGCAAAATCTTTCGTTATTATTTTTCTTTTGTTCTTTTTAAACATTTATAGGCAATTCTCTCTAAAGTACTATGTCCCTTTTCCTAACCTCTTTTTGTTGTTTGCATTAGAATCCCCCAGGATAGGGGTTTGTGGGAGACATAGGCCCTAAATGACTCCCAAAATACAGCCAAGGCCAACAACAGCTGCTCTGTTCCTTGAATAGTTAAGGACTTGGGCCCCACCTTGGACTGTTATAAATCAAAGTCTCAGAAGAAATACAGTATAGCTTGGAAATGTGTTTCGTACTCTGGTTTGACATTGGTTTTTGTTTTTGTTTTCAATTTTTATTTTATGTTTTTTTTTTACTTGTTCCTTTTTAAGATCTATTATTCTGCAAGGAATTATTTACTAACCCATGGAAAGTGGACATGTTGTGATTATATCTCCTATCAAGACTGATTTGTGGGAAATAATGTTTAGAATAAACATAATTGCACACTGTTCAACTCTTGTTGACTTGATATTTTATCTTTATTTTTTAATTCACTGTGAGGTACAGTAACAAAAATGTCATGTTTGAATTTTGATCATATGGTCATCAAACACCCATCCCTTCACCAATGCACACTTTCCACCACCAAAATCCCCAGATTTTCCCCCACCCCCATTCCACACTGCTCCCTGCTTGTATGGCAGACAATTTGCAAAATATTCTTTCTCTACTTTAGTTACCTTCGGTATTTCAAGACCAGTACTACCACCCCTCATACCTGCCGAAAATGCAATGCCAGACAATGTGTTTTGCGTTGCTTGTTATGGATATAATATAATGTCACGCGGCTAGGAATTCTAAGATTTTTTTTTTTTAAGGAAGAGTTTTATTTATTTAAAGAAATTTAATGTCACTCTAGATGATGTCGGTGGGCCCCACGGGAGACTTATGTGAAGCGGGAAGGAGAAAGACAGTCACTTTCTTCCCACCCACCTCTGCTACCCGGGACCCAGGGTTGCTGGGTTCTTGTCTCGCTTCGCAGAAAGGAATTTCAAGAGTAGACAAGCAGTTAAGTAAATAGATTTTATTTGGAGGATTTTTAGGTATGGAGGGAGGGAGAGGGAGTGAGAGAGTAAAGTTAGACACAAAAGCATGAAAGTACACATCTCAAGAGGGGAGATGCGGGCGACACATGTGCTCGGGAACCACATGTGCTCGGCCACGTGGGCGCAAGCAGCACATGGGCTCGGGCAGCAAATGCGCGAGGAATTCTAAGATTTTAATAATTAGGCTCTGAAGAAATCGCTGCAACAAGTTGCTGGGGTCCAAGATTTGTTTGTGTATCTCTGGATTGTGGCCACGTGGAGCTTGTGACTTCATCTCGGCGTCCCATCCAGGTGTAGGGAAGGAGGGCCCACTCCTCCCCTGTCGCGTGAGACTTGGGATTTGCCATCATCGAGATCTTGTGCCTGGTCCGTCTTGCTGGCTTCTAGAAAGTGGCAACTGCTGGAGCTCTTAGAGGGCAGGCGGAGGTAAAACACCCACCTCTGTCTGGAGCAACCCACCGGAGAAGGCCTTTTACAAAATCCAGGGCCATCTCTGCCGCAAGTTGCTCAGGTCCGAAATTCATCTGTGTGTCTGATGTTTTATTTTTAAAGTGTGATAGAAAAACTCTGGATCACCTGTCATCACAACCCTCAGGCAAATATCAGGCCAAAAAATGGCAAGAGGATGCTGCCATATCTGTTTTCATGTTTCGTCATGGTATTTGTATCAGAATTAGTGTCAACTTGTTGGTGGAGCCTAGGGTCTTGATTTAAATGAGTTTCCTGGGACCAGGACAATAATACAACAGGTAGGACACTTGCCTTGCATGTGGTCCACCTGGATTCAATTCCTGGCTCCAGATATTGTCCTGAGCCTGCCAGGAGTGATTCCTGAGCAAGGAGCCAGGAGAGTAAGTCCGGAGCACAGATGGAAGTGACTTAAAAGCCAAAAACAAATTAAAATAATGAGAGTTTTTTTTTTTTTTTTTTTTTTTTTTTTTATGAGTTGAAAGGTAGTTGAGCTGAGCTGGTAGTAGTTTCACCATCTATTCTGGAATTGGGGATCCTATTTGCCATTGACTGGTTCATAGGGACTGTTTAGTCCCAGCCATTGGGTCCGGTTCCAGCTGCAAGGATAAAGGATTGAAACAGGGCTGCCGCCTCAGTTAAGAATAAGGATGCCATTGCACACACACACACACAAGTCATGTTAGCTAGGACATTGCACCTGGCCATCATACTTTTGG